TTAATTGTGTGTTTTTTTTTTAAAATATATTTTATTGATTTTGTACAGAGAGGAAGGGAGAGAGATAGAGAGTTAGAAACATCGATGAGAGAGAGTCATCGATCAGCTGCCTCTTGCACACCCCCTACTGGGGATATGCCCGCAACCAAGGTACATGCCCTTGACCGGAATCAAACCCGGGACCTTTCAGTCCCCAAGCCGACGCTCTATCCATTGAGCCAAACCGGTTTCAGCAGGTCACACCATTAATTGTTGATCAACAGAAGGGTTCTGCAACCCAAGTGTGAGTGTAGAGGTTGGGGAGGGTGAGTGGGCTTGGAGGACGGTGCATGTGGGGCTGTGAATGAGTTATGGGTAGGGATGGGATGATGTCTGTTCTCTAATTCATGGTCCAGCCTCCTTCCCTTGAGTCTGGACAGCCTATAATTCATCAACCTTGAACTATCCCAGGTCATTGCTTCACCAAATCCTGGTTTTCCTTGGGACTATTCCTTGCCAGTTGGCCTTCCTTTTTGCTAATTTGCCATTAATCTCTGAAATAAATGTGCCCCCAGAGCATCTCAAAAGGCAGCTGTTCCAAAAAAATGTAGTAGTCCTTAAAAGGTTAAATGAAGTTACCTTATGACTAAGTAGTTCAATACTAGGAATATATATTCCCATGATAAATTAATTTGTACAAGAATGTTCACAGCAGCATTATTTATAATAACCCCAAAGTAGGAATAATCCAAATGTTCATCAACTGATAGTATATATGTGGTATATCCACACGGTGGAATGTTATTCAGCCATAAAAAGGAATGATATCTAGATGCTATCACATGGATGAACCTTGAAAACACTATGCTAAGTGAAAGAAGCCAAACACAAGCGACAACATAGTGTATGATTCCATTTACATGTAATGCCCCAAATAGGCAAATCCAGAGAAACAGAAAGTAGATGATTGGTTGCTTAGGACTGGGAGTTTGGGAGGAAGTGGGAATGACTGCTAATATGTATGCATTTTGCAGAGGAGGGTGATGAAAATTTTCTCAAATTGATGGTACTGATGGTGGCACAACTCTGTCAATTTAATAAAAACCACTGAATTGTACACTTAAATGAGTGTATGTATGGTATATGACTCATATATCAATAAAGCTGTTAATTTTTAAAATTGCTTTTTGGGTAAGGATTCTTGGGATAATCTACTGAAAGACACAGACTTTCTCCTGCTTCCCCTCCTCCACCCCCTCCCTCATGAAAAATCCATAATGGATGTTTATCAAACGTTCAGAAAACATCAGGAGACCCCCAGACTGACCCAGGCCCATTTACAGACTCCCTGGAGGGCTACAAGCTCCAGGACAATCCTGTCTTGATGAGAGTATCAGTAAGTGTTGGGTCAGGTGCACAGGAAGGATTTCTTTCCACCCAGGCCTCATCTCGGCCTTTGACCACCCCCATCACAGTTCCTCTTGCCCCCTCCTCCCTTTCCCTTCCTTCTCAAGCTATTTTGACATCCTTTCTTCAGTACTGGGGTAGGGTTTTTAAACGACCCCCATGACCTTCACCCCTTGGCATTACTCACAGGTTATATGGCAAAAGGATGCTATCGGGATGAGCCTAACGTAATATCATGAGCCTGTTAACAGCAGAGTTTCCTCTGGATGGTATTGGAAGAGGAAGTCAGAGGGATTCAAACTGTGACAGCGAATCCATTGCCAGCGTTGAAGGTGGAAGCCTTAGCACGTGACCAGGAATCCATGTGGCCTCCAGTGGGAGCGGAGAGTGGCCCCTGGCTGGCAGCCAGCAAGGAAATGGGGCCTCGGACCCACAACTGCAAGGACCTGGATTTTGCCAACAACTGAATGAACTTGGAAGTGGATTCCTCTCTGGACTCTTCAGATAAGAGCCAGGTTCGACCAACATCTTGATCTGGGCCATGCCCGGAGAACCCAGTTGAGTCCACACAGACTCCCAACCTACTATTTTCGAGATATTAGTGGGTGTTGGTTTAAGACAACAAGTTTGGGGTTATTTGTTATGCAGACTGGAAAATTAATACAATCGGTTTGTATCACTGTGCAGCTGGCTTTCATTCTGTTGGATATTTCTAGACCCAGTTTGTTTCTTCATGAAGTTCCTCAAATGGTTATTTGCCCTCCGAGGGTGGTGTCACCACATTCTGGATGCCTCCAAGCCTGGCTCTTGTCATTCCCTTCTGCATGGCCTACATTGGGAGCCTCCTCAATGTCAAAATGTTAAAAGTTTCAGAGTCGAAGCTTAGGGGGGCATCAGGCCATCGTTGGTGAAGAAGCTGAGGTGAGGCCCAGGCTCTGCTGGCATTGCAGCTCACAGTGGGTTCTTTATAAAAATATATATATTTTTATTGATTTCAGAGAAGGGGGAGAGAGAGAGGGAGAGATAGAAACATCAGTGATGAGAGCGAATCATTGATCAGCTGCCTCCTGCACGCCCCCGACTGGGGATCGAGCCCACAACCTGGACTTGAACCGTGACCTCCTGATTCATCGGTCAATACTACTGAGTCATGTGGGCCAGCTCGCAGTTGGTTCTTATCTCCCAGGAGAGAGAAGCTGCCTGGGGCAGGGGCCTCTGGACTCTGCCCTCAGCACCCTGCAGTGCACACATGACACTTCTGACATTCCTGGATTGGAAGTCCCAGAGCATAGCAGCTTGCTCAGGTGCCTGAGTGAGCAACCCAAGAAGAGGAAGGTTCCAGAGCCCCTTCAGCTGGCTGCAACCTTGTATATAAGATGTGGGACCCAGGCCCGTGGTGTGGGAAAGGGGCTGAGAGGGCCCAATCAGTAACAAGGGCCCTTAGCTACTCCAGAGAGACCCCCGGAAGCCCTCAACTCTTTGTTCTGGATCTGTTCTCACCAGCAGCTCTGGGACATCTGTTGCCGTTTAGGGTCAGTGTACTTGGCTTGGCGTGTGTGACAGCCATGGCGTTGGCTGGTACCAGGCTGCTTGCAGGCTGAGCCCTTTCCCACCTGGAGGCCACCCTCTTCCCTCGTCCTTCCTCCCTTCCTCTCCTCCTTACTACTGGGAAGAGCGACTGGATTTGGGGGGATGAAGTGTTCCTGAAGGCCTTGCTGCCCCATGCCCCTGAGAGCACCCAGAGCCCTCCTGCCTGCCTGTGACTCATTTCCGGAACCAGTCAGTTACTTCTGCTCCAATGAGCTGGTGTCCTCCCTTGCTGGACAACTCCAATGGGCTCCTGATGCTATCTTCTTTTCCTTGGACCCAAATCTCTCCTGACGGGGCCAGACTTAGGCTTCTTCGGTCCAGGGCCCAGGGGGACATGCTGAAGGGCCCGATGTGTGCGCTCAGCTCCAAGGTGAAGGGTCCTGGTCACGTAGGACACGCACACACCACGAGCTTGGAAATGACCAGGACTGTATGGGTTTCTGTCTGTCCCCAGGTTGTGTAAATGGATTCTGGCTCCTTTTGGATCTCCCCCACTTTACACCCAGATTTCTCTCCCAACTCCCTCTCCTTGTGGATTTCAAGGCCCAGCATCAGGTGTGAAGACAACAGCTTTGCAGAGAGTGCTCGGCGGGCGCCCACACCTCCTGCAGCCAGCCCCGTATGGACGTCTGTTCCCTGTGGCTCCGTTTCTCTGACTGCAGCTGGCAAGACAGGGTGTCCCTGACGTGTGTTGCTTCACGTGGTGCAGGTGACAGGAGCCTGGTCCCTGAGAGTGCTTGGCTCCCTAGAAAGCAGCAGTTCTCAAACCCGGAGGACTTGTTAAAACCCAGATGGTGCCATGACCAGTGTGCTCAGTGGTTAGAGCAATGACCCACACACTAAAAGGTCCCGAGTTCGATTCCCAGTCAAGGGCACTTACTTGGGTTGTAGGTTGAGCTTTTCAGCCCAGCTGGGATACATGCAGGAGGCAACCAATTGATGTCTTTCTCTCTCACATAGATATTTCTCCCACTCTCTTTTCTCCTCCTTCTCTCCCTTCCACTGCCTCTAAAAATCAATAGAAAAATATCCTCAAATGACAATTCACAGAAAACAAACAAATAGCAACCCAGGTGGCTGGGGCCCACCCAGTTTCCGATTCTCATTTCTGGTGAGTTCCACGGTGCTGTTGATGCCGCTGGTCCAGAAGCCAAGCTGAGATGGATGGCGATGTGCACAAAGCCCAGAGCAGGACCCCGAGGGGAGACTGCAGCAGCCCCCGGGGTCACGGGGATCGCTCTGGGGTCACAGGGCCAGGGAGGACTCGAGGAGCCTGTCAGGCGGGCTCCTCAGCCTTCTTTGGAGGGGGCAGCGGCAGTGTCTGTCTTCTGAAGGGCGCCCAGGCAGGGGGCAGGCAGCCCAGGGTGAGTCCCCACCCTGCCCTTTGGACCGGTGTCCTTGGGCAATCGGCCTGTTAGGGAAGACGGGGACACAGTTTCCACTGGGTGATGGACAGTAAGTGATGCTCAGTAAGTGCCTCTTCCTCTGTCCACCTCTGACCTGACTTTTGCCGCTGAGGGCTTGGAAACCTGTGGCTGAGTTTTGGACGCTGAGTGCAAGGCTTCCCGTCGGCCCGTCCTCCGTTTAGTTTGGCTGGGAGAAGCCGTTGTCCAGCCTGCTCTTCCTGTTAGCGTGGCTGGTACCATGTTGTAGCTTTAGGGTTCCCGGCGGGTGGGAGAGCAGGGAAGAGTTGGAACTCTGACTTGGGAAGCTGCCTTCATAGCTTGTAGTGGGCCTCTGCACCCCACTTAGAAAGGCCCACCTCACACATGGTCTTTGGAGTGGTAGAGGGGAAACAGCCCCAGGTGCCTCCCCGCTGGTGCGGCCCTATGAAGACCTACTGTGTGCGAGCCCCTATGAAGACCTACTGTGTGCGAGCCACACTGAGGAGACGAGACCTGAGATTTGGTGTCTAGACCCCAGGCAGCCTAGTGACCAGCTTCCGGGGAGGGGGTGCTTTGTGGGGAGTGTCCTTTCCTCCACGGGCCCTCTTCCCCATGAATAACCCACACGAGAACTTAGGAACAAATTTCTCATAGAATTTAATGTGTGCAGGCGAGGGCTGGGTGGAGGCCCCCGGGGAAACCCGGCAGGGTGTCAGCCAGCAGAAAGGCGCTGGTCCCAGAGGGCTGGACCGGGTGGACCGGCCGCCAGCTCACCGGGAACTTCTCTCTCCGTCTCTGCTCACGCGGCTCCTTACACCCGGATCTGCTGCGGCGCCTGGTCCTTCTTCTTCACCTCTGCCCAGATGTCCGACAGGTCCTGGATGAACTGCTGGATCTGACAAGGCAAGGGGACCATGTGATCCTGCCAGCGACAGGCCGCCACCCAGAAACAGCACATCTGCCCCCTCCCCCCCGCTTCCTGTGACCACCCGCAGCCACTCGCCCTCATTCGACAATGATTCTAGTGGCCACGGAGGGCCAGGCTCGTAGATTAACTGCACTAATAGCCGTGAAGCTGGAACTCCCGGAGACAGGCGGGGATGGGAGGGAGCCAGGCTGGAAATCTGGCTGAAGGGCGACAGGAGAGAGGAGGGGGGACGGGGGCATTTGGCAGGCAGGCCCAGCAGGGTGGGGTGGAGCTCCCCCTGGGGATAATCTTGAAGGAGTCATTCACCTGAAACCCAGAACTGATGCTCCTTGTGCTCATTGATCTCCAGTCACCTGGGAAGTTTGGATTCTCTTTGCTGGCTTCTTTTTTTTATGTTTTATTCTATCGAATATTTATTTTTTGGTTAATCCTCACTCCAGGATATTTTCCTATTTATTTATTTATTTATTTATTTATTTATTTATTTATTTATTTATTTATTTATTTTGAGAGAGAGAGAGGGAGGAAAAGAGAGGGAGAGACAGACACACACAGAGAGAAACATTGATTGGTTGCCTCCCTCATGCACCCTGACCAGGGTCAAGCCTGCAACCGAGGTACGTGTCCTTGACTGAATCGAACTGGGGACCCTTCAGTCCGCAGGCCTGTGCTCTATCCACTGAGCCAAACAGGCGAGGGCGCTGGCTTCTGTTTGAAGGAACATGAGGTCAGTTCGACAATGGAAACATGATTTCCCCAAGCAGCTCTGGGGAAATCACTTCATCTTTCTGGGACTCAGGAGCTTCATCTTTAAAAAGGGAAGAGGGAGGAAAGCTTGGCCTAGACCAGTGGGCGGCAAACTCATGATTCAACAGAGCCAAACATCAACAGGATGATTGATATTTATTTTGAGAGCCACATTTTTAAACTTAAACTTCTTCTAATGCCACTTCTTCAACATAGACTCGCCCAGGCCGTGGTATTTTGTGGAAGAGCCACACTCGAGGGGCCAGAGAGCCGCATGTGGCTCGTGAGCCGCAGTTTGCCGACCACGGGCCTAGATGACTCCCTAAGATCACAGTTCTAGCATTTCTCCTTTTCAAGAATGTCCCTGGAGATAGGACTGTCCCGAAATCCCAGCAACTCTGTCAGGAGCTAATACCGGTACCATTACCGACGTGACGCCTGTTTTGCAAAAGAGAAAACGAAGAGTCAGCGAATCACAGGAACTTTCCCAAGGTGACAGAGAAGACGAGCCCGATGTTCTCACAGTAAGTAATCACACAGCCTCCAAAAGTTCCAGCAAGTTCCAGAAACATTAAACATAAATTATATAGAATCTCCTTCGAGAGCCTCAGGACTCTGTGGAGTCCCATATTTACAAACCATGCAACTTGGTTTTCCTTCAGAGTTTCCAAAATTTATGAGTCCAAAGAGTCCTTTGATTTCCCCCCAAGGAAACGTCTGAGCCCAGCTTGGAAGATGCTGCTCTGGCCCTTCCCCCACGCAGCATGTGGAATCCGCCGTCTCAGCTGTTTGCAGGCTGCGCTGTGTGCGGTGCTCCTGCTTCTGTGTAAGTGGCTCCCGAAGCCCGAGCTTGGGTCAGCTGCAGGGATTTGTCCAGAACATTGTTCACTGAGAACCTCAGAAGCCTCCTCCTTGAGGAATTTCAGTTAGAACCAAGAGCTGGGAAAGGATCCCTTTTTCTGAGGAAAACGTATGTTTTCTCATTTTGGTACCAGAGCTGCGTGTTGCTCTTCCTTCTGGTCATCAGAAAGCTCAGCTTCAACACCTGCCCTTTCTAAGGCCAGAATCGACAGTCTTTATTTCTCTCTCTTGCCTTGACCATGGATTTCAACTTATGTTTTTCCTGGTCCTTATTTTCAATGGTTCCGGCTACTTGGTCGTGTGTGTTTCTCTCAGTAGGCTCCTATCCTTTGGGGATGAAGTGGGATATTTTAAAAGAACATTTGGGCCATAGTAAGTATTCCTGTGGAGACAAATCGAGGTGGAAAGGGAGTCAGAAAGCTCACGTTTTGGAGAAGATGAGCTGGAAGCGAGGCTCTGGGCAGGGATGCTCAGGCAGAGGCGAGGAGCTGGGCTCACGGCCCCCTGCCCACCTGTCTTCACAACAGCCAAAGGGAAGGGCCCCCAAAACCCCCGGAGTGCCTGAGACCCTGCTGCTGGGGAGAGAACTGCAAGGCCCAAACTCTCTTTCTAATCTAAGACGTTATTTGTGTTTTTCGCTCTTATTCTCTCATGAGTGTGCAGCGTTTGCCAGAGTAGGATGTCTTAGTGACACGGGCTGTCCCAACAGAACGAAGGCAAAAGCAGCCACGAGAAGCCACCGACCTCCATGCAGCCAGACACTAAGGGGACTTGTGAAAGGGTCCAATACGCCACTCATCCCACAAAATCGCTTTGGAAAACGGATTTTTCATTAAAAAAGCTATTTATGTCCATTTGCTTCTTGTCATTTAAAAATGAATGAATTAACTATTTTTTTTAACTTTTCTGTTTGAGTTTCTTAATATGGTAAGTATCAGTAGATATGACTGATATAAACAGAAGCTCTTTGAGGGTTTTCAATAAATTTTAAGAGTATGAAGGTAGCCGAAACCAGTTTGGCTCAGTGGATAGAGCGTCGGTCTGTAGACTAAAGGGTCCCAGGTTCGGTTCCGGTCAAGGGCATGTACATTGGTTGCGGGCACATCCCCAGTGAGGGGGGGGGGGGTGCAGAAGGCAGCTGGTTGATGTTTCTCTCTCATTGATGTTTCTGACTCTCTATCCCTCTCCCTTCCTCTCTGTAAAAAAAAAAATCAATAAAATATATTAAAAAAAAAAAAAAGATTGTGAAGGTATCCAGGTACCAAAAAGTTTGAGAATTGCTGCTTCAGCACAGACTTTCTCACAAACTCCCTTCACGGTCTTTGGACCGTCCATAACGCTGCCCTCACTTGCCGTAAGAGGGAGGCAGGGTTTTTGGTTTAGGGACAGCCTTCTTGCTGGCTGGTCAGTGGGTGTACTCCTTTACATTTCATGACTTTCACCTTTTTGTTGTTGTTAATCAGGGGAAATGCCTCTTAATCAATTGCTTTTTGTAGCTTGTGTTTGATCTTCATTCACCAAATACTTGTTGAGGCCTACTATGTGGCTGGCAGTGTTCTAGACACTGGGATACAGTAGGGAACAAAACAAAAAAAATCAGTTTGAGAGCTTACTTTTTACTCCTTCTCAGCAGAGCTGAAGACGTTTGTTTAAAGGAATGGTTTTCTGCAAGAAACATAGTGAATGCATCGGCTGCTATGGAATCTCCTAACGTACGGGGGGTGTTCATCTTTGGTCAGAAATGAGATGATTTTAGGTGGCACGTGAAAATGGAATCAAATAGCTTTGGATCAGACATTGAAAAGTTACTTCCTTTCAATGAATTCAAAGAGAAAATCTCAGACTGGTACTAAAATGTCTCTACGACTTCCCTAAACTTGCTGGTTGTCCTCCCTTCTCCCTCACCAACATTCTCTTTTCCCAAAGAGTGGGCCTGCCAAAACCGGTTTGGCTCAGTGGATAGAGCATCGGCTTGTGGACTGAAGGGTCCCGGGTTCGATTCTGATCAAGGGCATGTACCTTGGCTGCGGGTACATCCCCGGTAGGGGGTGTGCAAGAGGCAGCTGGTCAATGTCTTCTCTCATCGACGTTTCTAGCTCTCTATCCCTCTTCCTTCCTCTCTGTAAAAATCAATAACAAATATATATTAAAAAAAAAAAAAAAAAAAGAGTGAGCCTCAGGCACAAGCCTTCGGGACCTCACCGGATCTAACCAGACTGTCTTGCACAATGAATCCAGTGGTGGGTCCCTGCTACTGTCCCTGTTGATGGGGACACACACACACACAGGGTCTCAGTTCTAATGCCGTGGTTCTCAAAGTGTGGAACCCAGGCCAGAACCTGGGGATCATTGAAAATGGAAATTCAGCCCTGTCTGGTGTGACTCAGCTGGTTGGAGCACTGTTCTGTGAACCGGAGGGCTGAAGAGCCGAGGGTTCGATTCTGGTCAGGGTACCGAGCCAGGTTTTGGGTTTGGTGATGTTTCTCTTTCACATTGATCTTTCTCTCTCTCTCTCTCTCTCTCTCTCTCTCTCTCTCTCTCTCTCTCTCTCTCTCTCTCTCCTCTCCCTTCCCCTCTTCCTCTCCTTTCCTCTCTCTCTAAAATCAATAAAAAACACACACACCACAATATGTCATCAAGTTCAATTAAAAAGACAAACCACACACATCCTCGGTGAGGATTAAAAAGAAAATGGAAATTCGTGGGTTCTCACTCCAGTCCCGCTGACTCAGAGGCTCTGGGATGGGGCCCTGCAGCACTCCTCAGACCCCAGGTGACTGGAACCTGTTAACATGTGAGAACCCCGGCTCTATCCGGTTCTTTACTCCACTCAACCAGCCAGGCACCGTCCTGGTTCAGAAGACACCGCCCAGCCGCCCCCTGCGCCTCCTCTTACCATGTCCAGCTGTTTGTGCGTGTCCTCCAGGGACACGAAGGTCGTCTCCTTTAGCTGCTTGCTCACGATCTGGAAGAGGTTCAGCGTTGCCATCTTGATGGTGCCCAGCAAGAGGGTCTTCTTGGCGGCGGTGTTCTGGATGTGCGCCCAGCGGGATTCCTGGGGAGGACGTGGGGGAGGGAGGTGAGGGCAGCCTGTGTGTGTGTGTGTGTGTGTGTGTGTGTGTGTGCGTGTGTGTGCCTGTCCCTCCCTCAGTCACCCCGCAGCCCCGGCCCTGAGCCCCTGCCCCGCGGGGGGCTCACCCAGATGATGACGTCGCTGCGGGCGCGGTCGAAGCGCATCTGCAGGCGCGCCAGCTCGTTGTTGTGCTGCAGGATCTCGTCGTCCTTCTCCTCCATGTAGCGCGCCAGCCGGGCTTTGGCGCGCTCGATCTTCTCCTGGCCCTCCTGCGCCGACTGCATGAGGTCCTGGTGCATGCTCACCAGCGTCTTGTGCCGCGCCATCACCTCGTGGATCTCCTCGAACTGCAATGGGCGGGCTTTGTTCACAGCCCCGCAGTCCCGGGGCCCTACCGCGCGGCCCGTTACCCGCCAGCTTCCGGCCTGGCAGAGAGGCCCTAGGCCAAGGTCAGGGGGCAGAAGCTCTGAGGACATTGGAGTCCCGCTGCTCATTCCTCTTGGGTTGGTATGGGCCATGGGCCATAGTAAGGTGACCAGACGTCCCGCTTTTGGCGGGACAGTCCCGATTTTTACAATTTGTCCGGTGTCCGGAGGCATTTTTAAAAAATTCAAAAGATTAAAAAAAAAAATTCAAAAGATTTAAAAGATTATTTCCAAAGATCTGGACTTTTTTTTTTAAAACGCCGGGGGATGCGGGACAAATTGTTAAGAATTGGGACTGTCCCGCCCAAAGCGGGACGTCTGGTCACCTAACGGTACTTGCAACCGGACCAAGAGTCCTCTTGCTGCGCATTGGAATCATGGGAGGAGCTTTAAAAAGGACATTGGCAGGCTCCGGCCCCAGAGATTGGGATGAATAAACAGGTCTGAAGTGGACCGTGGTCTGAATTTTGCAACTCCCCTTCAATCCCTTCCCTCCTCCCAGGTGATTTTAGGGTTGCAAATTGCTGCAGGGAACAGCCGGGGAAAGATGACGGAGCATATGTGGCGTGTTCAGGAAGCTCAAGAAAGGTTAGCATGGATGACTCGAGATCAAGAAGGGGAGGGAGACGTTCCCTGGAGAAGTGAAAGCAGTGCCCAGGGAGCCCTGGGAGGGGTGTGGGCTTCTCCCCCGTAGGATTTTGAGACCCAGAGAGAACTTCATATCTGTGAGAGGGGGAGGGTGCGTTTTGAGATGTTTCCCAAGGCGATGATGATTCTATTCACCAGGAATGCACCGAGAACCACCACAACCCAGGAACTTCGCTGACTGCTGGGGACAGAGCAGGAGATAAGCCAGGCAGACCCTGCTCTCATAAAGGCAGCGATTTGGGGTGGTGTGGAGGCAAAACAGACAAGTAGGTAGTCAGTTTCAGCAGAGTGATAAGCCTTATCTGGCTGGGGGAGGGGGCAGGACGGACTGTGAGGGTAATGTCTTCAATGCGGCGCTCTCTGGTAGTCCGCATCTGCTGAGCCCGCCCTCCGGCAGGGGCTGCAGAGGGTACCAGCGGGTCAGCAGGCCTGCCAGGCTCTGCTGCCTCCTCCGGTCCAGAACCCTGCCATGCTGGCCCTGCCTCGCAGGCCCCGCTCAGCAGAAGGGATGACGGCGGTGTGAGCACCAGTCCTGGGTGCCAGCTCCCCTCCCCAGGCGTCTATCAGTGAGCTCTCCGGCCACCCAGGGGACACTGCCTGAGCACTTTGTCCATCGCGTGGCATGTCCAGGGATAGACTGGTGTCTGGGGTCTGCCTGCTGGCCTTTCCCAAGGTGCCTCTGGGCAAGGGCCACCCAGCCCAGCATCAGGGGAGACGGGAACCGAAAAGGGAAAGGATGACTGAAATGAGAGCGGAGGTATGAACAGAAGACAGCCAGGCAAAGGTATGGGGTGGGGGTGGGGGTGGAGGTGGGTTTGGGGAGGAGAGGTGCGGAAGCATCACAGGTAGAGGGAAGAGCCTGGTGAAAGATCCTGGGTGTGTGTGGCATGTTCAGGAAGCTCAAGAACGTTTTTTAGTATGAATGACCCGAGTTCAAGATGGGGAGGGAGAGATCACCCGGAGAAGTAAAAAAAAAAAAAAAAGCCCGGAGAACCCTGAGGAGGAGGGTGAACTTCATCCACGGACAGATCAGAGAGAGAAAACGTTATGTCTGCGTGTTGAAGTTCACCCAGCACACGGTGCACAGCACACAAGCTGAAAGGAATGGGCCACATCCAGCTACCAGGAGCACCCTCCAAACTTGGTGCTGATGGCAAAGGACTCGGTGCCAACCTGAAGAGGCTCCCTCTGTCCAAAGATGGGACGCTTGGAACATCAGGAAGAAAAGGTGCAAAGTGTTAAAACATCAAACGTGTTAAAAACCCGTGAGCTTGTAATGATGATAACAACAGCACAGGTCGCTTTCGGAGGATGCTGGAGAACCAGCGCGCTGTTCTGAAAAGAATCGAGCATTTGGGTGGCTTCTTTACGACCCACACAGGGACCAAGCAGTTGACGAAGGGAAGGTTCTCTCTCAGGCAGTGGTTCCGCTTCACCTGTAACTATTGATAGAATCCTGCCGTAAAGGAAAGGACTCCTTAGAGCAGTGGTTCTCAATCTTCCTCATGCCGCGACCCTTTAATACAGTTCCTCATGTTGTGGTGACCCCCAACCATAACATTATTTTCATTGCACCTCATAACTGTAATTTATGTGAATTATTTTCGTTGCTACTTAGGCTGGTCTTAGGCTCTACAGGTCACGGCCCACAGGTTGAGAACCGCTAGCAGGGTCACCTAAGACCATCGGAAAACACAGATATTTACATTACGATTCATAACGGTAGCAAAAATACAGTGATGAAGTAGCAACAAAAATAATTTTATGGTTGGGGATCACCACAACATGAGGAACTGTATTAAAGGGTCGAGGCCTTAGAAAGGTTGAGAACCACTGCTCTAAGGAGTCCTTTACTTTACGGCAGGATTCTAGTTCCATGTGAAGAAGGGCCGATAGGACATTCCCTTAGAGGGGTCTTCTGCCCTCCTACCAAGGAAATCAGAATTGTGACTTCTATCATCGAAGACGCATCATTACCTGTTTTTAAACACATCAGTGGCATCCCGCAATATGTCCTCTTTCAGGTTTGGCTTATTTTGGTCATCATAATAATGCCTGTGACTCGAGAAGCACCCACCAAATGCAGCGTAGGGACCTTGTTTGGGCCCTGATTAGAACAAACCAACGGTCCAAACAGCATTTGTGCAATAAGGGGGGGGATTTTTAACATCAACTGGATATTTAACATCAAGGAATTACTAACACATTTCCCTAGGTGTGACAATGGCATTGGGACTACATTTAAAAAAGCTCTTCTTTATTAGAGTTGCAGACAGAAATGCTTATGGATAAAAAAAATTTGCTTGAAAATGGCAGAGGTGGGAGGTTTGGGGGATTGGACTATGAGTTGATAATTGCTGGAATTAGGTGATGAGTAATGGAGAGTCAATAGACTGTTCTGCCTATTTTTGCATATGTTCGAAATTTTACATAATAAAAAGGGTTTAAAATATTGATGGGAAAAAGAAAGTCACAAAAGGACATTTACAATAGATTAGCGGTTGATGGGTATGTAATATGTTGCCAAAGCAATGAAAACAATCACATGGATGAGAAATGAGGAAATCGGGAGACCCGGTGACCTCTCAGGAGAGGGGGAGAAGTATGGGTGTGGGAGGGCGCACATCGCCTACAGTGTTTTATTACGGAAAAAAAAGAATTAGGGGCAAATATTAAGATTTGACAAAGCTGTGGTGAGTACTTGGGTGCTGTTTTATATTTCTCTATACTTTTCAGTATGCTTAAAATGTTTTGAAAGAAGGAGAGAGAGAAAGAATCAGAGGTGGGGGGCACTGGCTGTAGAAGGGACAGGCTGGTGGCCAGGGAAAATACAAACGTGAGCTCCAGGTGAGGCACATTGTGGTCTAGGTGAGGAAGGGCAGGGACCAGATTCCAGAAACACTTAGTCTTAGGAGGCAGATCAGACCAGGGCTCTGATTGATGGCTCTGGGGAATGAGGAGGAGGAGGAGTCGAGGATGAGGCTCAAGTTCTGGTGAGGCTGTGGGTAGAGGCTGTGGGTAGAGGCTGTGGGAGGGAGGCTGTGGGTGGGAGGCTGTGGGTGGAGGCTGTGGGAGGGAGGTTGTGGGTGGAGGCTGTGGGTGGAGGTTGTGGGAGGGAGGCTGTGGGGAGGCTGTGGGAGGGAGGCTGTGGGTGGAGGCTATGGGGGAGCTGTGGGTGGAGGCTGTGGGAGGGAGGCTGAGTGGGAGGCTGTGGGAGGGAGGCTGTGGGAGGGAGGCTGTGGAGTGGAGGCTGTGGGTGGAGGCTGAGTGGGAGGCTGTGAGTGGAGGCTGTGGGTGGAGGCTGTGGGAGGGAGGCTGTGGGTGGAGGCTATGGGAGGGAGGCTGTGGGTGGAGGCTGTGGGAGGGAGGCTGAGTGGGAGGGAGGCTGTGGGTGGAGGCTGTGGGAGGGAGGCTGTGGGAGGGAGGCTGTGGAGTGGAGGCTGTGGGAGGGAGGCTGAGTGGGAGGCTGTGGGTGGAGGCTGTGGGTGGAGGCTGAGTGGGAGGCTGTGAGTGGAGGCTGTGGGTGGAGGCTGTGGGTGGAGGCTGTGGGAGGGAGGCTGTGGGAGGGAGGCTGTGGGTGGAGGCTATGGGAGGGAGGCTGTGGGTGGAGGCTGTGGGAGGAGGCTGTGGGAGGGAGGCTGTGGGAGGAGGCTGTGGGAGGGAGGCTGTGAGGTTAGAAGCCAGCGCTCAGCCATGGGCCGGCTGTGAGGCCGAGCTGCTCCAGCTCTGAGCCTCCGCGTCCTCCTCGGGGCCGGGAGTGAGCCGAATGAGGTCACGCGTGTGCAGCACCGAGCCCAGGGCCCGGCACACACTGAGCTCCCTGCCTCAGGCTGGGTGTTTCCCAGCTTCTCTCCCTTCCTCTCCCCCTTTACTCTCAAGCGAACAAAACGCTGGGGAAAAGGGGACGCAGGGGGTGGAGGAGGAGGCCACATCCTGACGCAGGCAAAGCCTCTCTCTGCGCCACTAAAGGAACCTCCTTCCCCACGCACACCCCCATTCAGGCATGGACACAGCTGTCATTTGTGCAGACACCAAGGTACAGCGCCCAGCCCCCCGCCCCGACCAGGGCCTTTCCCAGCTGCCCCCAGAGGAGGATGGACATCCCTGCAGGGGGTCCCTACGCCCCCTGGAGCCCCAGGCGCAGGCCGGGGAGGTGGGGCCGAGGGAGGCGCCCCCCGACCCCCACTCACCTCGGAGTTCTCCACCACCTTCTCCAGGTACTTGTTGAAGATGGAGTAGTTCTGCAGCTTGGCGCTCAGCCGCTGGTGCTGTAGTCGCAGGGCCGCCATCTCCTGCTTGGCCTTGGCCAGCTCACGCATGCGCTGCCTCTTGAGGTCTCTCTCCTTGTTGGCTTTCTTCAGGGCGCGGATCCGTTTCTGGTCGTTCTCCTGGGGCCAGGGAGGTGGTGTCTGCCAGGCACCCTCCTGCCCTTCCCTGGAGCCCAGCTGGTGGTACCCTCCATCCCCCCGGGGCCTCTGTTTGCGGAGCCCAGGTCACCCTGAGGATGGGCAGGGACCATCCAGGTGGCAAGAAGGCCTGAGTGTTCTCCCAATTTGGTATTTGGTGCCTCAGTGTCTCCCACTGTAGAAATGAGAGGCAGTAGTTCCTCTCCTCCTCCCCAAAGCTGGGGCAACAGTGCTCAAGCCATAGGGAGATGAGCTTGGGGGTGGGGGTGGGGAGGGGAGTCTGCTCCAGAGGGCCTGGGGCAAGGCCATGCCGGAGAGCATGCAGCCAGGAGCTCCCACTGGCATCAGGCTCAGGCAGGCGGAGATGCGCGCACAATTCCAGGCCCAGAAACAGACAGGACCCTCAGCCACTGCAATCCAGGCCTGCCCCCCTGCTGCCTCCTGCAAAGCCCTACCCCCCCCCCCCCCCCCCCGAGATCAGAGGGCGAGCCCGCCCCTCCCAGGGCACGCGTGCGGCTCCTTTCCCTGGGTCCCACACGGATGGCGGGAGCCTTTGGAGGCGCGTGGGGAGGACACCGGGGACTGGCCTGTCCCTGCCAGCCCAGGAGAAGACTGGAGGCCCCACTCCAGTGGTTTTCAAGTTCCACTGTGCATCTCACCCCCCGGAGGGACTTCTTACACATGTGGCTGCCTGGGCCCGGCCTGCGGCCTCTGAGAGCAAGTGGAGGGGGGTGCCGGGGTCTGCATTTGGAATAAGCGACGCCAATGGTGACCATTCGGAGAACCCTGTCCCCCACATTTCCTGCTGCCCCAGCCACTCCACTCGCTCTCCTCTGGTCCGTAAGAGGAAGTGCACCGCTGGAGACTAAGCCTGGTCCCTCCGCTTCCTCCCCCACCTGGCTGAGGCCCAGAGCACCACCGGAGGGCTCCAGAGCAGGACTCCCCAGATTCCTTCCTGGAGAAATCTGGGTTTCAAAATGGTGACATCGCTCCTCAAAGGACCCATGGAGAGGCGTGGCCTCAGCGAGGACTCTGGTGCCTGGTCCTTCCACCGCCCCCTCCCTGGACCCACAGTGCCAGGAGGGAAGGATGGGGTGACTGGGGAGACTAAAACTCTGCCTGATTCATCTCTGTGCCTCCAAGTGCTTAGTCCTGCCCCTAGTGCATTCATTCATTCATTCATCCAGTAGATACATCATGTGTGCCAGGTATGGGAAAGGAAATGGTCGACGGAAATCTAGGAGCAGAGACTGACAAGCAAACAAGAAATCACTAACAACATTAAGGCAGGATCTAATGGGGGGAGCTCCAGGCATTGCTGAGCACCGAGAGACATCTGACCCGGGGTGAGGAGTAAGCCAAAGCGAGGAGGAGGAGGAGGAGGAGGAGGAGGAGGAGGAGGAGGAGGAGGAGGAGGAGAGGCAGGGCGTGGGGGAGGGGATCGGAGTGTGGGTGTCGGGGGGGGGGGTGTGTGTGGCCGCACACCCCGATACCTGGATGAACTGCTCGAACTTCTGAATGTGGGCCTTCAGCTGGGTCTCCTTGACGCCCAGCTCCTCCCAGCGCAGGTTCAGAGTTTCCATTCTCCGCTGAAATGTCTTGGGGTGCAGGGAGCAGGATGGTCAGGTGGCATGGGAACCAAGGGAGGCCCCAGCGTCCTCTGCCCAAGTGCCTCCCTCCCCAAGTTCCCTCCCCCCCACTTTCCTCCCCCATGCCTGGCTCAGAGCAGAGCATCCGGGGACATGGGCACCCCCCAAGTCTGGGATTGTTTCTGTGTCTGCAGAGGCCTGGCATTACCAAAGCCACCTCCAAAATGAAGGGCTGTCCCGGTGGCCCCTGCACGCCCCCCCCCTCCCGTCTCCCACCTCCTTCTTATGCAACATGGCATGGTGCATGATCTTGGCCTCCTTCTTCTTCTCCAGGAGCTGGATAGATGGGGAGTCTGACTGCTCCTCAATGTGGGGGAACTTCCTGTCCAAGACATGGGCCAGAGGGGCTGGGGCGGGCTGGGCTGGGAGTAAGCCAGACAGCCATGGGGAGGGGAGGGAGCCCTGCCCCCTCTGAGTGTGCTGAGTATGCTGTGTGGAAGTCCAAGGAGCAAGGTGAAGCAGGGTGATGAGTGAGGGGTGGGGATCTGGGATGGGGGTGGATTGGTGCCAGGGAAGGGGCAGGACGATCTGGGTCCCTGGGTCATAGGAGAAGGAGGGGTGGAAATGGGAGGTCCCTGTCCAGAGGGGGCGGCCCTGGCCCCAGGGGGCACTCACTGGAGCAGGTGGAGCAGCCGCTCCCCATACTGCAGCCGGAAGTACTCGGCCAGGTCCTCCTCCTCCATGATGCCCAGACTCATGGTGGCGGCGGTCTCAGGCCTGGGCAGCCCAGTCTCCGCGGGGAAAAGAGGGGTCGGGTGGTGGAGCCGCAGGGAGCTCGGGCGTGGCGGGCTCTCGCTTCTCCTTTCGGCCTGCTTTTCGGGGTCCAGAGGGCGGGAGTCTGAGAGGCGCCCGGGGAAACGGGAAACGGCTGGAGGCTGAGAGCAGCAGCCACCGGAGACCTGGTTGCCTAGCAACGGGCGCCGCGGGTTCCGTGGACCACACGTGGGGCCGGGCGGCGCCCTCCGACCTCTGGCCCCTGCCCTCCTGGCCGGGCCGCTCTGCACCCGCGTTCACCTGCAGGGGCTTTGGGGAGAAGCTGGGCTGACAGATGCTGGCGTCGAGGCGGGAGGAAGGGAATGGGGTTCGGTCCAGGGGTGTCCGCAGGAGGGCGCTCTGCCCTGAGCCCCCCTCTTCTCCCCGGGGCTGGGTGCGTGTTGGGGGCAGGCAGAGCGGGGGCTGCAGAGGCCTCCCTCCCTGGGGGAGGGAATGCGGCCCGGGCAAGGCCCCCCGGAGGGGATCGGACCCTTTTTTTTTTTTTTTTAAATATATTTTATTGATTTTTTACAGAGAGGAAGAGAGAGATAGTTAGAAACATCGATGGGAGAGAGTCATATCCCGCACTGGGGATATGCCCGCAGCCAAGGTACATGCCCTAGACCGGAATCGAACCTCTATCCACTGAGCCAAACCGGTTTCGGCCAGACCCTTCTTTTGCGGTTGGCGGGATATTAAACAAGAAGACCGCCACCCCAGGCACCGCAGACGTCCCCTATGGGGTGTGTTTGCTGTGCGGTGGCTGCTTTTCTTGACCCCATCCGAGCTCATCTGGCCCGAGGGGCAGCGTGGAAGCGTGAGAGCCCGCGTGGGAGTGGGGCCGGGGAGGTGCGGGCCCGGGTGCCCCTGCCCGCCTGCCGGGGCTCCGCTCTGCACCCTCTGCACCCCCGGGGGCAGCCTCGGTGGGTGGGGGGCTCCGTCTGGGGCGAGGTCCCTGCTCAGCCAGCTCATTCCCCCAGCATTGCCCGTCCTCTGGCGCCCCCTCCCGGCCGCCCCCATCCCCCTCAATCTGGCCTGGGAGGAGGAGACTGGTGGGGGGCGCCGCCAATCTCCCCCAAACCTCAGCCTCCCCCAGTCACACCGCCCAGTCTTTCCCCCAGAGCTGGCCGCTTCCAGCCAGCCCCACGGGCTCAGCAGAGGCAGCGGTATAACCCCCACCCCACATCACCCTCTCACCATGCCCCCCCATCCCCCAATCCCTCAATCAGACATGGCAGGATGACAGGAACACTAGTAAAGATGGTAAGCGCCTCACAGGGGTATGTTTCTCTCCTTGTTTAGACCTGGATCCTGGCACAATGGTGATGCCAGCCCTGAGGAGGAGGCTCTGTTCTCCAGTCAGCAATTGCCTGGCACACACAGGCACATCCTTGGTGGCATCTACGGCATTAGCTGGGCCAGGGCCAGATGCAGGCAGCAAGACATCCTCCTCGGCCTGTGTGCCCCTCACAGCTGGGGCTCTTTCTGCCGCTTCCTCTGCAAGTCATCAGAGTCTTTATCTCCATCACCCACCGCCATCCTTCTCTGGGGTCTCACCGTCTTCCCAGGGATACCCAGCAAGATCAGGGCTGCCTGAGACTCACTGTGCTCTCCCATCCCTCTCCCTCCTGCTCTCTCCCGCTTCATTTTCTTTTTCTTTTTGTTAATCCTCCCCCGAGGATATTTCTCCATTGATTTTTAGAGAGTGGAAGAGAAGGGAGGGACAGAGAGAAAGAGAAACATCAATTGGTTGCCTCTTGCATGCGTCCCAACTGGGGCCTGAGACCGAGCCTGCAACCCAGGTACATGCCCTTGACGGGAATCAAACCTGGGACCCTTCAGCCCGCTGGCTGACACTATCCACTGAGCCAAACCGGCTAGGGCTGCCTTCCTCCTTTTCTATCTGGACAGTGGCCTCTGAGACATCTAGCAAAATCTCCTGATGGATGTAGGTGGTTGGAAACCAATAGGCAGAATAGTTTCTGCTTTCTGTCCCTTCTCTGAGACAATGGTCTCCCTCTGAGACAATTATCAGCTTGTAAAGGGGGAGGAGAAATATCAGGAAAAAATATTAGGTCAATATAAATCTTATTCTGCCATACAGACCAGCACGTAGAGTGCTGGCTATGAAGAAACTGCTTTTTATCTTTATTATATTCTACAATATTTCACATCTGTGGAATCTTGCAGATTCGGTATTTTAAATGCAGCCATGTGTCACTTAAGGACGGGATATGCTCTGAGAAATCCATCATCATTAGGCAAGTCTGACGTGCTTACACCATAGTGCGTGGACAGAAACCCTGGGTATCACCTACTGCACACCCATCTGGGATAGCCTATTGCTCTCAGGCTGCAAACCTGTACAGTGTGTGTCTGTACTGGATACTCTAGGCCAGTGGTCGGCAAACTGTGACTCACGAGCCATATGCGGCTCTTTGGCCCCTTAAGTGTGGCTCTTCCACAAAATACCACGGCCTGGGCGAGTCTATTTTGAAGAAGTGGCGTTAGAAGAAGTTTAAGTTTAAAAATTTGGCTCTCAGCCAAAACGGGTTTGGCTCAGTGGTAGAGCGTCGGTCGACTGAAAGGTCCCAGGTTCGATTTCGGTCAGGAGCATGTATGTTGGTTGTGGGCACATCCCCGGTAGGGGGTGTGCAAGAGACAGCTGGTCGGTGTTTCTCTCTCATCGACGTTTCTAGCTCTCTATCTCTCTCCTTTCCTCTCTGTAAAAAATCAATAAAAATATTAAAAAAAATTTGGCTCTCAAAAGAAATTTCAATCCTTGTACTGTTGATATTTGGCTCTGTTGATTAATGAGTTTGCCGACCAAAGCTCTCGGCACTTGCAACACAATGGCATTTGTGTATCTAAACATATCACAACATGGCAAAGGCACAGTGAAAATGTGGTATTAAAGGTGAGAAATGGTGCACTGGGAGGGGTCGCTTGCCAGGAACGGCGCCTGCAGGCCTGGAAGTTGCTCCGGGGAGGCGGTGAGTGAGCGGTGAGTGGATGTGAAGAGCTGGGACACACTGCCCGCTGCTGCAGACTGTATAACACCGTGCGTTAGCCACACCACGTCTATCAGAACACCTCTCTTCCTTCAATAATAAACTAGCCTTACCTTGCTGTATCATCTTTATAAACTTTAAAACAGTTTTAACTTTTCAACTCTTTTGTGATGACACTTAGCTTAAAGCACCAACACATTGTGCAGCTATGCAAAAATGTCCTCTTTATGTCCTTATGCTGTCAGCTTTTATTCCACTGAAACATTTTATTTTATTTTTTACTTTTTAAATAGTTTTCATTAAAAACGAAGACACAAACACAGACATTAGTTTAGTCCCAAACAGGGTCAGAACCATCAATATCAGTGTCTTCCATCCACATCGGACCCCACCGGGTCTCCAGGGACCACGTGTGGGGCCCCCCTCCCTATGACAATGCCTTCCCCTGGAAGACCCCGGAAGGGCCCGCCCAGCCCTTCCTGAGGTGTCACCCCTCTCAGAAATATGTCTGTGGTGGTTTGCTTAGTTCGTTTCCTTTTTCTCCATCATGGATTTGCTTACAAGCAGATAATACACCGTGAACAGGCCTCTCTATTAATTAAAATCTTACAATGTTGGGGTCTATGTTTTCAAACTTTTTATGGAGCTTGAAGTCTGCAAAAGCTTCTGCTGAAGCATCACTGTGTAACCTTAAGGGACCATGTTGTGTATGTGTTTCCCCTTAAACCAAATGTAGTTACGTGGCACAGAGCTATGTTTCAAGATGGCTTGGGTATTGTATTGTATTGTATTGTATTGTATTGTATTGTATTGTATAGTGTTGTGTTGTGTTGTATTGTATGTATTTGTTGTATTGTGTTGTATTGTATTGTATTATATGTATTGTATTGTATTGTATTGTATTGTATGGTGTTGTGTTGTATTGTATGTATTGTGTTGTATTGTATGTATTGTGTTGTATTGTATGTATTGTATTGTATTGTATTGTATTGTATGTATTGTGTTGTGTTACCGTGTTTCCCCAAAAACAAGACATCCTCCGAAAATAAGACTTAGCACATGGAAAGATAAGACATCCCCTGAAAATAAGACCTAGCACAACTTTGGGAGAAAAAATTAATATAAGACACTGTCTTATTTTCGGGGAAACAGGGGTAGTTCTGTAATAAGCAGCTGACAAGTTCCAGTATGAGTTTTCCTGGTGGGGCGCTACTCCTGGGAGCTTTTCTTCCAAGCAGTGAAGGCTCTAAGCCTTTTCATCCTGCAGCTCCGTGACCCTATGGCCTTGCTGGAAGGGAGAAGAGAGAGAAAGGGGGAGAAAGGCCCGCCTGCTGTGAACAAACCCAGCACCGCTCCTGTGCCCCGGCCTCTGGGGGGAACAGCCACACGCCAGGGGCTGGGATGTCGTTCAGCTGTGTCCCCGGGAAGAGAAAACTAACTTGACGAGCATCACACCAGTGTGTGCTGTGCTCTGGAGAATCGGAAGGATGTTTGGAAGGAAGCTGAAGCAGAGCTTCAGAAAGAAACTAATCAACAAAGAAAAAAGAAAAAAGAAAAACTAGGCCAACCACGAGCTCATGTAAGAGAAGTCTTAATGGAAACATTATTAAATTTAATTTAGTATAATATTAAAAAAAGAATCCACCAGAACCATGAGTACAAAAATAGTTTAATATTAGGCAATCTAGTAATACAACTAAGTTTATCAATGTCTCAAGAGAAAAGGATTATTATTGTTGCAATAAATGCCAACATGCCATTGATTAAAAAACAAACTATTAGTATTCAAAGGCACTTTATTAACATGATAAAAAAATCAGAACCCTACAGATAATATTAAAATGTACATTAAAGATGTTATTGTTAGAGTTAAAGACATAGGCTTTCTTCTGTCACTATAATCATTCAACACTGTTTTGAATCATTCAACACTCCAGCTGCTGCAAAAAGACTATAAAATTAAGTTTTCTTTCTTTACATATGACAGATGCTGTGATCGTGTACTTTGAAAATCCGAGAATGGTTAATCAACAAAAATAGATTAGAATTTAATGTAATACTATCCCAATATATAAAAAGCCAGGGGCAGTCACAACTGAAACAACTGGACAGATGACCGAATAGCAGGCTGGTGGGGTGACAAGGCCAGCAGGGAGGTAAGTGAGGGATGACCAAATGACTGAACAGCAG